TCCCATCCTTGCTCACTCCACTCCTGCCACACCAGCCTTCTTGCTGTTCCTACAACGTGTTAAGCACACCCCACCTCAAGGTCTTTGCATGGCTGTCCCTCCTGCCTGGATCTGTCTTTCCCCAGATATCTACATGGTCTTTACCTTATTTCCTCCAGGTCTCTGCAAAAATGTCACTTTACCAAGGTGAGGCCCTCTCTGACCACTCTATATATAATAGCAAACAACTCCCAATATGCCCTACCCCTTCCCTGATTTATTTTTTCCATAGCCCTTACCACCATCTGACATCATTATTTACATTTACTCATTTATTTGCTTATAATCTCTTCCTCCACTTAAATGCAAGTTTCCTCAGGGAGCAATCAGTCCAGCATGTGGACCACTATACCCCTAGCACTTAGAACACTGCCTGACTCAGAGTAGGCACTTGGTAAGTATTTGTTGTGAAACTGAATAAATTAACTTATTTTATGGTCTTGCACTAGGCTTTGGGAGAAATATAAAAATAACTAGCACATTTCTGCCTTCAAGTAGAAGAGTTTATAAGTCTTGAGTGTTAAAAAATCCCTTATTAGTTATTGGGTTGTTTGTTTTTTTTTTTAATGTCAAGAAATAAAGAGGAAAAAACTAAATTCTCCTTAGTTTTATGAAGTGACTAAAGAGTACTTTCTAGCCTGTGGGTTTTCTTGAAACATCTAACAAGTTCTATGACAGCATGTATTTCTTTATTATAAAGTTTGTGAGCCATAGAGAAGACATTTTAAAAATAATTACGCCTGGTGAATGGTGTAATTGTCCCTCTCTATAGAATTAAATCTGCCACAAAACATGTCACTGCTCTAAGGGTATTTTTAGGTTTCCTTTTTTAGACTATAAATATATACAACTCAAATGGCATCCGCCCACTCTTGTTAATTCTGCCTGGATAATTCCTATTTACACCATTGGTTCCAAAGTTTAATCTCTCTGAAGAGATCTCCATGGGCCCAAAGGGAATTGTCTGAAAGACCCTAATAGGTTGTATCACTTCATTTAACGGTATTTAGTGACAGCAGAGGCTGAAAATCTGAAGTGGAAAGGGAACCCGTAATTCTACCCCTAATTATCATGATTTAGTAAAAGCTCTGACATTTGATTTACTGCTTGTACTTGGGACTCTTGCTGTCTTCCACCATTCACAATCGTAGTGCTGGGAACACACTCTCCAAGTAATGAGCTGAACTCCTGCCCTGACAAAAGCCATTCTCTTGGCCACATACTCTATGTGCAGGCAACGTCATCTGACCTGTCAGGCCATTTCAGCCCCTAAGCCGTGCCCAGGACGGTTCCACTACTTTGAAGCCTCTTGCTTGCCTATCTGCTCAGCTAACTCCCAATAATTTTCTCCTTTCCCTGGGTTTCAGTAGCACTTAGCTCAGACCTGAACACTAGCATTAATCATTTTATCAGTTGGGTTAGGCTAAGTTATACTACAGCAACAGTCAACTCTGAAAATCTTAGTTACTGTATAGGCAGAGGCTTATTTACCTGTCAAGCAAGACCTACTCAGGTAATAGTGAGTAGGATTCTGGTCCTCCATGCAAACTCAGTGATCCCAGCTAAGAAATAATTAGTCGCTTTGGTCCTGCCTAACTGCAAGAGAGTGTGTGCATCCAGGAGAAGAGCTGAAGGTATGGATGAGTATTACAAGTCTGACTGCAGCTAATTTTTATGTACTCTAATCAAGGTAAATGTCTCCAGCAATAGAGTGTGAGCAACTTATTTGGAGGACTCATAATTATTCATCTCACTGGTATATCCCCAGTTCTGAAAAGAGTACCTGTACCTAGAAGGTTCTAAGTAATTACTGAATAAATGAATGAATAACATACACTGATTGATATCAACTGCCTGGGACTGAGGAAGAGCCCAGCCTCTCCAAAGCACGTGGCCACCAAATATCAGAAGGAAATCAACATTTGTTAGGAAAATTCAGGAGACAAAGTGGCTGTTAAGGAAGCACAGGTATTGGCTACAGCACTTCATATTTACTGAGTAAATGAATGGATGGATGGGTGGGTGGCTATGTGGAGGAGTGTTAGGCAGACCATCCCCAGTGCCACTGATGTGATCGTGCTCAGATCACTGTCTCTATCATCAAATTACAATGGCCACTATAAGGAACATCACTGTCTCCAATCTTTTTTTCCCTCTCAATATACTGTCTATACTGATGTCAGTCATCCTTCTAAAATTCAGCTACCTACCTCTACCTACCATTGTGCTCCTTGCCAAGAGATATAATATGCTTTTCCCAGAGCCAAAAAAAGCACAGTGACCATCTAAAATTCAGCTACCTACCTCTACCTACCATTGTGCTCCTACACAGACAAGTTAGCTTTGTCCACACTAGATTGTTTGTTATTCCCTGGAAAGGATGTGCATCTTCACATCTCTGATCCTCTGCTCATCCCTCTTTCTCCCTATCATAGGATGCCGAGGCTAACTGGCATTTTCTTTGTGAAACCTTCCCAGATCTTCTTCAGACAGAATTCACCGCTCCCTTCTGTGTTCTCCCATTATACCTGGATTATACTTTAAAATACTGCACTTAGGATAATAAGCTTTATATTTGGATTTAGACATTAGAGTTGAAAAAAGGACACTCTAGTTGCATATGTGTATGTATTAAGCTGTGGTTTCTTGAGAGCAAGGACCTTATTTGATTCTCTTGATGAAGAGAGTGGATTGTAAACACTCCGTCACTCATTCTTCATTCGACAAATACTACTGGGTGCCAAATATGTGAAGTGAAGAAGACAATTAACACTTCTAGAATGAATTAAATCCTAAGTAGAGGTCCATTCATCTAGAGCCCTTTTGTCATTTTCACATAGTACACAAGAGTATCTTGTCCAGATGCCTATTGCACTCTTGATTCTCAGAAGAGTGAAACAGAGACCCTCACTATGACATACTTCCCTGATAATATCTCATATTCATTTGGGAATTTGGGGATTAGGGGATTAGGTTGACAATGTCTGAATTTTATGGAAGTTTTTATTGGCCAACCTGACCTTTTGGATATGGACTTGCATTGGTTACAAGGTGCAGAAATTGGCCGCCCTGTGCATTTATTTGCTACACACATCCCCATTACTCAAGACGAAATGTTTGCAGTGTTTTTAAGATGATCCTTAATCTTTTCAATGGTCACATAAAATTGTTCTTGTGCACCCTGGGCTTTCATTTTGTTTTCTTTTTAAGGCACTGATAGAGTAAAATGTGAATGCTTTCAAACAGTTTCTATTTTCTGCACGGTGTAGAAGTTGGGTGTCGAAATATACACTGCATTTCTTCCCTATGGATTGAATAGCACAGAGCCAGCAGTCTACCATAAACCATCCATTCTCCCTTCAGACCAGGCCCTGAAACGCCCATTAAAGCTAATGGAGACAATTATGCCCACAAACCAAAGGGAAAATAAACCCCTTCATTTGTAAATTAGCCTGATTCCAGTAGATTTTCTATGTCAAACCAAGAAAGAATAACATGAAAACATGTCAATCATGACCCTCTATTTAATTGTCTGAAATAAACGTTCATCTGGGAAGTCTCCCATTCCCTCCAGGAAGAAAAAAAGAGACAGCAAACTCAACAGCTATTTGGGACATTAGTCTGTGAACTTATCCACTATTTCCTTCCCAAGCCTTTTGGTAAACAGTAAATGGCTGTCTGTTGATTGCATTTAGAGATCCCATAAATCTATATAGATCAAACCCACTTTCTACAAGCCATTTCCTATGGAGATAGATTGGTTTGCTTTCACTTGTGCCAATTGTTTATTAGAAAGAATGAAAGTGGACGTCTCTTTTAAGATTGTTTTTATAAAACTGAAAAGTTTGTTTCCCCTTTCCAAAAACAACTGTCTCTAAATTTAGTTCTAAATTACAGAAGTCGTAAGTTGACTCCCTATGACAGGGCTGAAATATCCAAGAGCACTGGCCTGAACAGTACCTGTAATTAATAGAAGCCTTCGTAGTGTCTTTCTTTCTAGGAAATATACTCAGCAAGCTTTTAGGCATCATTTATATATGGGAACTGTAGGGAGACTTCTGAAACAACAGTCCATGACTCACCTACTTTCACTCCCCACCAACAATGCACAAGTAATTCCACTGCTAGGTATTCACCCAAAAAAATAAACACACTAATTTGAAAAGATACATGCACCTGTATGCTTTTTGTGGCATTATTTACAACAGTCAAGATATGAAAACAACCCGAGTGACCATCCACAGATGAATGGATAAAGAAGATGTGATATATATGTACAATGGAATATTAACCATAAAAAAAGTGAGACCTCGTCATCTGCAGTAACATGGATGAACTAGAGGGCATAATGCTAAGTGAAATAAGTCAGTCAGAGAAAGACAAATACCATATAATTTCACTCATATGTGGAATTTAAGAAACGAAACAAACAAACAAGGGGAAAAAAGGGAAAAAACAGACTCAAATACAGAGGACAAACTGGTGGTTGCCAGAGGGGAAGTGGGTGGGAGGGATGGTTAAAGTAGATAAAGGGGATTAGGAGTACACTCATTCAGATGAGCACTGAGTGAAGTACAGAATTGTTGAATCATTATATTGTACACCTGAAATACAACACTGAGTGTTAATTATACTTCAATTCAAAAAAAGAAATTCACCGGGGCGCCTGGGTGGCTCAGTCGTTAAGCATCTGCCTTCGGCTCAGGTCATGACCCAGGATCCTGGGATCGAGCCCCTCATCGGGGTCCCTGCTTGGCGGGAAGCCTGCTTCTTCCTCTCCCGCTCCCTCTGCTTGTGTTCCCTCTCTCGCTGTGTCTCTCTCTGTCAAATAAATAAATAAAATCTTAAAAAAAAAAAAAAAAGAAATTCACCTGCCCATTTTGCCCTTAGAGTACAACTAATACATTTCAAAAATGAAATGAGCTGTGGAGATCATTTCCACCCACAGACAGCTGTTGCCCATGCGTTTTCCCTGGGACATTCCATCCTCATCTTCCTACTACCAGCCTTGGTCCCTCTCCTTCTATAGCACAGTGACTCAGGGCATAATTCACAGATTGGTGCATTTTGTTCCATCTGAACACTTTGCCTTCACCAGGATGTGCTGCCCTAAGTTGATAAAGGTGAGCCAGAGCTCCCAGTAGGTCAACTGAGAAAGTTGCAGCCTGCTGTTCTCATTGTTCTTTCTATTCATTACACTTCAAAAAAAAAATTTTTTTTAAAGTTCAAACCATATTTAAGCTATAAAAGATAAACTGATACATGCAATATCTTTCATAAAGATACACGTTTAGAATGAAATGTAAAAGAAAAAAAGACTTTCAAAATACAGTAAGAATGAGGGTGCCTGGCTGGCTCAGTTGGTGGAGTATGTGGCTCTCGATCTCAGGGTTGTGAGTGTGCGTCCCACATTGGATGTAGAGATTACTTAAAAAAACAAAATCTTAAAAAAATATACAGTAAGAATGATCACAGCATTATTTACAATGAGAAACAGTTTCTGTCATTTTCACCAGTGATGTCCAGTGCCTGTGTAAAGCTCATTATAGTCATTAAATATTTGTTAAAATAATGAATGGCAAATAAATTATGGTAATTTCCTACTTTAAAACTTCAATTTCTTTTAGAGAAGAAGTGTAATGCTCCAACGATGCTGGCAGTTAGATGGTAGTTTCCTTAGTAGGGATAAAGTATAGACTGGGAACGGGCATCTTGGCAGAAGCAGGAGGTACTGATCTCGGTAGTGGTTACATGGAGAGACACACACTATGTATGTACAAAGATTCATGCAGATGAACACTTCAGATTAGTATTATACTTTGCTATATCTATAATATCCTCAATTTTTAAAAAAGTAAATGATTACAGCATGACACTTCTGATCTATGTGAAAATCTGCTTTGTTCTCCATTCAGAAGACCCTTTGTCTACTCTTGTTGGGGGGGGGGATGATCCTTTATTCTTGAACCTATTTATCAATTTGATTAATATATAAATACTATTTCCCAGTAGTTCCAGCTTAAATTATTGAGAATTCCCAGATAACCGTTTGAATTTGTTTTGTCTTTCTGGGGGGAGAAAACCCACAGTCTGAAACTTCAAAATAAAAACCTAAAAGAACATAAAAAGTACATAAATTTTCAAGCACATTTAGACACACTACTATAGAGATTTCTTAAAACCAATATAAAGTTCGTAGTCATCCAGTGTTTTTGGAATCCTAAAATATCTAATTAAGGGAACACCAAACATAAAATGGAAACAATGTCTCCAGTTTGCAATATTGATGGGACCTTTTTTCAAGCAACTTTCCACTCTACCTAGAGAGCATCTAACTAGCTCACACCATAGTCATTAAGGGAAAGAGAGCCCATTAGTCATGTAACTTTAAACAGGTTACTTAGCCCCTTCACTAGGTTTCAATTTGCTCTTAAAAAAAAACAGGGACTGGGCGCCTGGGTGGCTCAGTTGGTTAAGCGACTGCCTTCGACTCAGGTCATGATCCTGGAGTCCCGGGATCGAGTCCCGCATCGGGCTCCTGGCTCAGCGGGGGGTCTGCTTCTCCCTCTGACCTTCTTCCCTCTTGTGCTGTCTCTCATTCTCTCTCTCAAATAAATAAATAAATAAATAAAATCTTTAAAAAAAAAAAAACAGGGACTACTATTAGGTAGCCAGGAAAATGCTGTCCCAGGAAAGGAACCCTCCTCTAAAACTGATTGTTGAAGCAGGGCTCATTCCCAGGCTGGTGGAGTTCCTGAAGTTTTCACCTCACCCCTGCTTGCACTTCGAGGCAGCCTGGGCTCTGACCAACATTGCTTCCGGGACTTCAGAGCAGACTCAAGCCGTTGTGGAAGGTGGGGCCATCCCACCTTTGGTTGAGCTCCTGTCTTCCTCCCACATGACTGTGTGTGAATAGGCAGTGTGGGCTCTTGGTAATATAGCAGAATTCAGAGACCTCGTTATCTCGAGCAATGCCATTCCACATCTGCTGGCCCTCGTTTCATCAACCATACCAATCACGTTTCTGCGGAACATCACGTGGACCTTGTCCAACTTGTGCTGAAAAAAGAACCCTTACCCTTCTGTGAAAGCCGTGAAGCAGATGTTGCCCGTCCTATCCCACCTCCTGCAGCACCAAGACAGCGAGGTTCTCTCAGACACCTGCTGGGCCCTGTCCTACCTCACTGATGGCTCCAACGAGCGCATCGGCCAAGCGGTCGACACAGGGGTCCTGCCCAGGCTGGTCCAGCTCATGAGCAGCTCGGAGCTCAATGTCTTTTTTTTTTTTTTTTTTAAAGATTTTATTTATTTATTTGTGAGAGAGAGAATGAGAGAGAGCACATGAGAGGGGGGAGGGTCAGAGGGAGAAGCAGACTCCCTGCCGAGCAGGGAGCCCGATGCGGGACTCGATCCCGGGACTCCAGGATCATGACCTGAGCCGAAGGCAGTCGCTTAACCAACTGAGCCACCCAGGCGCCCTCGGAGCTCAATGTCTTGACCCCGTCCCTCTGCGCCATGGGGAACATCATCATGGGAACGGATCACCAGACCCAGGTGGCCATCGACGCGGGCATGCTGAACGTGTTGCCCCAGCTCCTGATGCACCCCAAGTCCTCCATCCAGAAGGAAGCAGCTTGGGCCTTGAGCAACGTGGCTGCAGGGCCTCGCCAGCACATCCAGCGGCTGATAGCTTGCGGCATGCTGCCTCCTTTGGTGGCTCTGCTGAAAAACGGAGAATTTAAAGTCCAGAAAGGGGCCGTTTGGACCGTCGCTAACTTCACAACTGGAGGCACCATAGACCAGTTGATCCAGCTTGTCCACTCTGGCGTCCTGGAGCCACTGGTGAATCTGCTTACCATCCAAGACACCAAAATTGTTATCATCATCCTTGATGTTATCTCTTTTATCCTCCAGGCAGCAGAGAAGCTTTCAGAGAAGGAAAACCTGTGTCTTCTGATAGAGGAAATGGGTGGCATTGATAAAATTGAGGCTTTGCAACTTCATGAGAACCCTCAGGTTGCCCTGACTGCTTTGAACATTATCAAGAACCATTTTTCTGAGGGAGAAGAAAGTGGCACAGTATTACCAGCCCTGGACCAAGATCATGAATTCTTAAACTGCTTAACAAAGCAATACCAAGGCCCCACAACTCCTAAACCAAGGATCAAACCCTAATGGGTAACTTCTTTAAGAACCTTCTATGTCTTGGCATGGCACAGGTGTAAAGCTTTTTAAACTAAATGTTAATAAAATTTTCGACACCTTCACCTCCATCTATCAAAAAAAAAAATCACAATCAACTCTATCTTTCTATATTCCAATGAAAGAATGTTAGTTGTATTAGAAGCACTTCTGAAGTCTTTAGTTTGATTTAAGGGGTAAGTCCTCAGTTTGATTTAAGAGAATAACAACTACAAAAACAGACTCGTAAACTTCCCATCTACATAAAAACAGTTTTGCTTTTACTCCCCATTCAGTGATGGCAATGATTGTTGTCTCATATGATGAACATTCAACAAATATTAGTTAGAAGCAAAGAATTTTATTGTTTTTTACACTGTGCCAAATTGAATAAACGTCCCTGGCTCTCAATAAATATTAATTAATGTCCTTGGAGCTATTAAAAATAATTAATATAGCCAATGCCCCGGAGTTTATGCATCACTGCAAAATAAGTGGCTCATCTCCATTTTGAGAGTCTGCACTATCTCTAAAATTTTCTTAGAGTTTATGATTAGACCATCCTTGACATTATAAGTTAAATATTAATATTTTGACCAAGCTAGGTGAAAACCAGAAAAACTCAAAACAAAGACTAAAACTCAGCTTTGAACCTGCTTTATGATCATAAAGGGCCAAAAATAAATGAAGTGCATTACGTTAAGCTTCTCTACTTCCATGCTAATCTGCTAGGATTAGTTTAGTTGCTTTAGAAGAATAATGAGCTCAAGATAATGTCTTAACCTGAAGCTGGAATTTACTAATATTGACTAAGTGTCACCATGAACTACACGGACTTGTGTTGCTGAACCAAAGACACCCATTAGTCCTTCCCCATCAATAGCCCCTTCTTAAAGAATCTGCCTCATCACAACTCAGAAGATGTCACTCTACTGGGGAAGGCAGAACCTGATCTATGGCCATCGGCTCCTCCCAAAAATGTGTGTGGAACTGAGAAACAGAGTTTGATTCCGTCAGACGGCTTTGGAGCTGAAGTTCATGTAAAGTTAGACTCACATGGCATGTGAAAGTTAAATTTAAATAACAAACTTATTGTCTTAGTTCATCTGGGCTTCTACCACAGCATATCATAGGCTTATAAACAACAGAAATTCATTTCTCACAGTTCTGGAAGCCAGAAGTCCAAGATGAAGATGCTGATAGATTCACTGTCTGGTGAGAGCCACTGGTTCACAGACAGCCTTCTCACATCACATGGTGGAAGGGGGTGGGGGAGCTCTCTACTGTCTTTTTTACAAGGGCACTAATCCCATGCAAGTGTGTCATCCTCAAGACCTCATCACTTCTCAATACCTAATCACCTCTCAATACCTAATCATCTCCTAATTCCCTCACATTGGAGGTTAGGTATCAACACATGAATTTTGTAGGGACACATTCAGTCTATTGCAACTACAGAGAGCAAAAGCTAGGAGGCTGGCTGAGAAATCAGGTTAACCAAGTAGGGACCATAAAAGATGCAGAGAGAAGATAGGAATGGACAAGTGGACCCAGAAAGAACAGGATGGAGGCAACAAACACCTATGACTTCCTAGGTCCTGTGACACACTGCTATAATTCTGGCCATTGGGTTTTTTGTTTTGTTTTTAAAGATTTTATTTATTTATTAGAGAGAGAAAGAAAGCACAAGCAGTGGGAGTGGCAGGCAGGGGGAGAAGCAGGCTCCTCGCTGAGCAAGGAGCCCGATGCGGGACTCGATCCCAGGACCCTGGGATCATGACCTGAGCCGAAGGCAGATGCTTAACCGACTGAGCCACCCAGGTGTCCCTGGCCATTGGGTTTTAAAAGACTACCTGTAGTCTTAACCAATGCCCCCACTTAGGTTTGCCCTTGTAAAAGTGATAAACATGCGTGTTTATAGACTCATGATCTCTCTCTTTCTTTCCCCCTCTCTCACACACACACACATTCATAGACATTCTGGCACATGTAACTAGTACAGAATTGAAGAAGACAGAAAAACTAGACTTGGTTTGTATTAGGAAAGAAGAGGGCTGCCCAGCGTAGGGGACAAGAGTGGACAAATACTCAGGACAAACTGGGGAAGAAGTTGTAGACATGTTGAGAGAATAAAATAAAATTGAAGGGATTGAATGAGATATTAGGAAAGATTTTACAAAGTTCGGCTATTTGTTTAAGTGGAATACTGCTTTGGAACTCTGCAAGCTGTTTTATTTCCCAGGACTTCCTAAGGAAATAGACTTGCATTCCTCTCTTAATGTTATCCTATTATTAGCCGGACACAGGAAGGCCCAGTTTTATTTGGGTTATGGCAAACCGCACTCTCGTTCGTAGGTCAGTGTTTTTCAACAGAATAATTCCTTATTGTTCAAGACTGTCTTGTAGACTGCAGGATGCTTAGCATCACTGGCTCCTAGCAACTAAATGACAGCAACTAAATGACAGTCATTGTGACAACTAAAAATGCCCTCTACATATTTCCAAATGACCCCAGGGTCGGAGGGAAGAAGGCTGCCCATGGTTGAACCACTGATCTAGACCTTGATAAACTGGTTTCCATTCATGGCACTAAAACAATTCCTGATGAAGATGGTGGCTAATGTGTAAGAAGAGCGGACTCCTTTTAATTCCTCCCTAAAGCATTCAGCTCAGCGATATGCATTATCTATCTCGGCAAGCAAACATGCTGTTGTTTGCCTCATCAGGCAGGATGATTGAAAATGAAGCCTAAGATACTATCCTCCTATCCTTGCACGAAATCCTGCCCTGAAAGTGGGTGATGACAACAACAATCAGCAGGCAGACAGTAGAGTTGGCCTTCCATAAAGGGCGCATGACGGACACGAATTAGAAAACGGGGCTCGGCTTGAGGAGGGGGGCTAGGAGAAGCAGCTCTGGAAGCTGATGACCTCAGAAAGAGGACAATAGGGTGAACACACTCCTGTACGCGATTCTGGAATGCCAAGGCTCAGGGCATCGCCGAAAGCTGACATTCTGCGCCCTTGCTGCGCAAGACGCTCGCTGGAAGATGCTAGAGTTCCTAGACAGTGAAAGCAGGTACTCCTGCTTCCATAACACGCCGTCCGTAAGAACCGTGGTCCAGATAGGAATAAAGTTCAGAAACAAAGGACTGTGCACTTGTTCTTCCCACTTCCACCTGGCCTCCAGCCACTCACTCACCTTCCTCACGCCGCCCTGTGGAAAGCCAGCTGCTCCACGAGGTCGTTCATCCCTGCGCAGTCAAGATGGTGCCCCCCGGGGGCGGCCACCTGGCTCAGTGTGAGGCGCCAGCGACTCTGGATCTCATCGTCTGAGTTCCAGCCCCACGTCGGGGGTAGAAATTACTTTAATAAAATAAAATAATGGCTGCTCTGGAACTTATCACTGTCTCCGTCCCCTTCGAGGTGTCGACTAGGAGGGTCCTGAACTCACCTCTCCCCTCAGACACGCCAAACCTACAGCTGCCTAGAGAGCAATGTCCTCAGAAAAGTAACCCAGCGACTAGCTGAGTGAGGCAGGTGGCCGCTGAAAAGTGCCCAGATCTTCTCTGAAAGAGGCGTCTTTGCCTATCTTCAAGCATGGGTCTGAAGGACAGGCACCTAATTTAACACACAGCGAGGGACCTACTAAAGCGCTCTCCAAAGATGGCAAGCGAGTGCCGTCTTTGCCCCTTTCGCTCTGCCTGGGGCCAGCTCTGGAGCCCGCTTTTTGCCACTGCGGCCCAGAGGACGGCTCTAGACCCCCTGGCTCTGGTGGCCAGTGGGACTTACGCTGGGTCGACACCTATTTGTAAACTATAAACGCTGCTGGCTGAGGGTCTGGCTTCCAATCAGCGTGAATCCAGGTGCTGACGGAGATCCCCCCGCTTGGGACACTGCGGGGTGTTGGCACACCCTCCACTACTGGGAGCTGCTGGAAGTGAAGTCGGCCACGTGGACAATTGCAAAAGCCTGTGAGACAACCAAGGGCCAGCGCAGGGGAGCATGACGAGGTTCATCTCCTCCAGGAGGCCACTCTCTCAAGACTGAGTCAAGCAAAATGAAGAAACAGAGGAATGTGTTCCAAACAGGAGTACAAGACACGACCTCGGAAAAAGACCCTAATGAAATGATCACTGTCTGTCCTCTTCTTTGTTCCATTCTCCACAGTTTTCATCCCCCCTCGGTACACTCACTATGTGTTCATTCATTTACTTGTCTAGGTGGGAGCCATATCCCCGTATTATAAACGCCTTGAGGGCCGGGACTTATAGTCTGTTTTTTCACCCAGTGCCCAGAAGAGTACTTGAGAATAGTAAGCGCCTAATAAATATTTACTGAATGAAGGAATTGAAGAATAATTCAGATATATAAATATATAATAAATCCCTAACAAGAAATTAAAGAAGGCTGATGATGTTTAAGATAGCTCCTTTATTCTTGGAGGTTGACACCATGAAAAACGGACATAATTCCACCAAATGGGTCCACAGTTGTAGGTGGCCCATTTCACTCATGTAGGCCTCACCTCCAGCAGCACCAAGGAGTTCACTAGAGCAGTGCTGCCCCCACCTGGTATTTTCTGAGAGCACAAATGGAGGGGAAAGGGCATCCCGTGTTCCTTCACTCAAACAGGGTTTCTGGAGTGCTCTGTTCTAGGTTCTGCCTGACACGGTTTTCTTTCTTTCTTTCTTTCTTTTTCTTTCTCTTTCTTTCTTTTTCTTTCTCTTTCTTTCTTTCTTTTTCTTTCTCTTTCTTCATTTCTTCCTTTCTTTCTCTTTCTTTCTTTCTTTCTTTCTTTCTTTCTTTCTTTCTTTCTTTCTTTCTTTCTTTCTTTCTTTCTTTCTAAGATTTTATTTATTTATTTGAGAGAGAGAGAGCACAAGCAGGAGGACAGGCAGAGGGATAAACAGACTCCCCACTGAGTAACACCATCCCAGGCCCCTGGGATCATGACCTGAGCCAAAGGCAGATGCTTACACAAAGGAGCCCCCC